AAACATACAAAAATGCAGAGTACATGATAGTGTTGTTGCTTAAATGTTTCCCAACGCTTTATTTGAGCAAAGATTTACTTCACATTATAACAAACATCTTATAATTTACATGACAAATTATACATACACACTAGTGCTGAGGTGACAGTGCCAAATACTGGCCTGTTATACGTAATAAAGCGTTTTTGGCCATATTTGCTGATGTGGAAAGATCATTTTGGAAACATTGAAAACAATCTAGCCAAAAAAAATAATTAAATAAAATTTTGGCTATAACATCGTTTAAAAGTAGCCTTAAAATATTCTGTGTCTACATCTGCACCAAATATATAGCTAAATATCTCAATAGTAATAATATCAAATAATATTATTGGAATCACTTTCAAAAGTATTTTTTTTCCAGGTGATGAATGATTGAAACTACAAAAAAATAATAAAACCCATCAGAAGAAGGGGCAATGGAACCATATGTTCACATTAAAGACATTCTGTGTTTGCTCCAATAAGCATTAGGAATCAGTTCTCCAAAAAGAGCTAAACAAGAACCATGGTTCTGACTTGGCATTTGTAACACAGTGTTTTTGACATTTTTACCAATGTGGGAATGCAGATAATTTTAAAAGCATTGTCATGTAAGCATTAAAGTTTTTTTTTTTTTTTAAAAACACAAGGGAAAAACTTTCTATTATTGGCTAGATTGGTGTTGTGTAAACATATAGCTTTAAAAACATTCAGTATTCATGTACACTAAATCTATAGTCAAAGAGAAATAGTAATATTGGAATCACTATCAGTTTGTTTTTTGAGATGATGACTGATAAATAATAAAACCCATCAGAATTAGAGGAGGAATTGGAAATAATGTATATGTTGATGTTAAAGACATTCTGTGTTTGCTCCATTTTGCATGAAGAATTAGTTCTCCAAAATAGCTAAATTGGAACCATGGTTCCCCCTTTATACAGCCATATGAAAACCATATGTTAAATTAGCATTAACATTAGTTTTCACAAAAACTGAAAGTTTTTCCCTTGAGATTAGAAAAAAAATCAACGCTTACAACGCTTTTCAACATGATCTGTGTTTCCACATTGGCAAAAAAATAAAAAAATTAAAAAACGGGTGTTATGTATGCCAGGTAATTATTTGGCTTTGTCACCCTGTTAGTAAAAAGCACCAGTAAGATGATAAAGTGCTGTGCAGAAGTACCCTACCAAACACAGAAAGTTCTACTAATGTTCCCATATGGTTCCTATTTAGTTATTTTGGGAACTATTTCCTTAGATAAAATAGGAGTACAAAGTAAAATCCCAGCAAATGCAAAAACATAGTTTTAAAAACATTTAGTGTTCGGCTACACTAAATCTATAGTCAAAGAGAAAAAATATCATTGTAATTACTACCCAAATTTTGTTCACCGGGTGATGACTGATAAAAACCACCAAGAAGAATAAAAACCCATCAGAATAAGAAGGGAAATTTGAACTATATGTTTACGTTAAAGACTTTCTCCATTTTGCATGAATAACCAGTTCTCCAAATAGAGCTAAATGAGAACCATGAGAAACTTTTTGTGTTTACTAGAGTACTTATAATCCTTTAATTTATGTAAAGCACTTCAAATTACCATTGTGTATGAAATGTGTTATATAAATAAACTTTATATAGCCTTGCTATATTGTAGCATATTTTATGTTAGGTATTAGTAATCTCTCCTTAAAAGTAGTAGAAACCATTTGTTAACATGTAGGGAACCACTTTGCTGAGATGCTTCTGTAGCACATTTTACACTATACTGTGCAATCTTACTTTAGTAACTTATTCTACCAATAAACTATAAGCAGCAACTATTTGAGTGCTTGCTGGGACACGTCTGTGACACATTTTAGACTATACTGCACCATTTTACCTTAGGAATCAGATCCACCCTAAAATAACCAAATGGGAACTAACTTATGAAGTTAGGGAAATGTTCTACATTTGCTTAAATACAATGTTTCATGCTATACAGTTGCAATTTTACTTTAGGAATTGGTTCGCTCTTAAATAACCAAACAGGAACCATACAATAACATTAAGGGAACGTTCTGTTTGCTAGTCTACTTCTGTACAACATTTTACTCCATACTGTACAATTTTGATTATAAACTGGCTCCCCACACAAACACAACCATTCAGTAACATTAAAGGGTATATTCTCAGTTTGCTGATATATTTCTTTATCACATTATATTTAATATCATACCACAAAACAGACTAGAGAGACTAAACTGTGCCATACTGTACTGTACAATCATTCAGAAAAGAGATGCACAAACAGTCCTGAAACGCAGATCGAGTACCTTTGAGACTTTGGCTGACCCTGTGGAGGTAGATGAGATATCTGGGATGGCTCATCCAGTCTCAGGACAGAGGATTCAGGTGCATTAGAGGTCAATATGAGGTCGATAACTGGACATGAGCCACACTGATGTGCTGACATCACAGTGTGAAAAGATGAAATCTGATCCCGGCCACTTTAGATGCAGCAGAACATTCAAACGCATGGCTTTACTGCAGGGCAAGGCATATATGCGGGATAATGTTTGGATATATGTCCGAGACGAACACTGTATAGATCAATATTAACATAATACACTTGTCTGAATACTGGAGTGGAGAGTGACGGCGAAAAGCAAAGAGGAATCCAAATGTGTATGCAATCATAGCATTTCAATAGCTGGTATAACTTTAGATGGTAAAGAAATTGTGTTTGTTTGACTAATTAACCTGTTCATATATGTGTAGATTTATATTTATATTTGAATAATAAATGAGGCAGATCCCAAACTGAAAAGCAGGGGGGGGGGGAGAAGATCAGGGGCCACTTTTGTTTATTTTTGTAGGACACTTTTTATATTAGCGAATATCTCTGAAATTTATTGGAAGACTCTGTTTCTGCCTTACCTAACTTGTTTTTTATTTTTTTTATTATCGAGTTCATTAACCCCCAGTAACTCAGTGGTTATGTGACTCACCTCTCACTCCAGAGACCCGGGTTCTATCCCTGAGTCTGACAGACGAATGAGTAGAATAAGTAGCAGTGCCATAGTTGTATATATATATATGAGTAATATCACACAAGTAGCAGTGCAATGTGGCTGTATATCGGTACTGGTGGGAGGTGTGCATTGGCACAAGGCTGCAGGCCAAGTGCCTTAATGTATCACTAGTGATGATATACAGCCACATAGTTTTGAAACTCGTATGATATTGCAATTTTACAACAGTTTGACAGCATAATCGTGAAAACACACACACACACACACACACACTAGGGCTGTGTGATTTGGGAAAAATTTCTAATTGCGATTTTTTTTGACAGATATTGCAATTTTGATTTGATTTGCGATTTTAATTTTGTAGTCAAGCTTTAGCTCAATATCTGTATTGTAGCTTCTTACTGCTAGTGTTAATTAAAAAAGGTACTTAAAAGATATTACCTTATTAGCAAACATCTCTGAAATTGAACTTTGCTGTTGCTTATTGTTTTTGCCTTTTATAACTTTTTTTTGTTATCAATAAATATCCACAAAGAAGCAAGTTGCCTTTCATTGATCAGGTTCATCAACTCTCAGTAGCTCAGTGGTTACATGAATCACCTCTCACGCCAGAGACCCGGGTTCTTACAGTGACAGACGAAGAAAAACAAGACAAAGACAATGAAGAAGACCAAGCAGATGACCATGTAGACGAAGACCGAGAAAACGACGAAGACTGAGAAGACTAATACCAAGATGACATCCAAGACAAAGAAGCTGACAATGACCATAAGGACAAAGAAGATGAAGACTAAGACCAAGATGTCGTGAAAGAACAAGACAAAGCAGATGATGACCAAGAAGATGAAGAAAACGACCAAGACCAAAAAGATGACGACAAGCATAAGGACAAAGATGACGAAGAAGACTAAGACATAGCAACCAATGACCAAGAGCAAGAAGATGATGATGACCATAATGACGAAGATAAAAAAGATGACGACGATGACGAAGACAAAGATGAAGACCAAGATCATGACCAAGATGAAGATAAAAATAAAGTAGATGATGACAAAGAAGATGAAGACTAAGACAAAAAGACCAAGAAGATGAAGACCAAGGCAAAAATGATGACAAGAAAAAGAAGACTTAGATGATGAAGAAGAAGAACAACAGCAACAAGTCTCAACTGGCAGTACTTTTAGTTGACTTTTTAGCAAGCTGGTCCTTGTATAGCTGTGGTGATTTTTTTAGGCGCTGGTTGTTGTATTTCCTCGTGCTGTGGCAACAATTCAATGACAGCTCTTACAAATGACCTGATTTTGTTTGGGGGATGTGACTTTGAAACCAAGATATTACCGATGTGCTGTTTTCTTTGATATTAATTAGTCCATTAATGCTTCTGAAGTGGCAGACGCCATTATTCCACTCATTCACGTGTTCATGTTTGTTTGTTTTTTTTATTGTGGGCATTCCCTATAGTTCAGTTGCAAAATTCTGATTGGGCAGAACAAAAGTGTGCTTCATCAATTGCTAGTAAGACAGAGGTCATGCATTTCCTCTGGGCGGGGGAAGTTAAATAATGTATATTTCATATCATCGCAACATTTAAAATCACAATTGCAATTCGATTTTGATTAATCGCACAGCCCTAACACACACACACATATTCACACACACACACACACACATATATATGTATGTGTATATATATATATATATATATATATATATATATATATATATATATATATATATATATATATATATATATATATATATATTGTAAAAACTAACATTTAAAGTTAGTTAAACACTAAAAATTATATTCAAATGTAAAATGTTAAATATATAGAATAAACAATTCACACTTGACTGCTCATGATTGATGAAATGCTCAAAAAATGTATATAATAAATAAATATTAATTATGCTTAATGTTATTAATAAATGTCAATTTTTTCTCATTTTATTTTGCAGCTGTTTCTATAATGCGGCATAGTGCGTCAGCATTTGGGTTTGCAGTAAGTATGCAATCACATACTTAAACTTAATTATATAATGAGTCATCATTTGTCGTAATGCTTTGTTTTCTTCGTTCACAGTTTGACGCCACACTGGATGTCCTGTCCTCCATTATTGTGCTTTGGCGATACAGTAATGCTGCAGCCGTTCATTCAGCACACAGAGAATACATGTGAGTATACATGATGAAAGAAAAAAAGACATGAGCGGCCCAGGGTTTGAGCTCTGTGGGGATTCTGGGTAGACTCAGCAGCCAATTAGATGCCGTTTCTGGGCAACAAGCAGAGCAGAAGGTCAGCCTGATCTTTCACGATAATGATGTGATTTTGACATGTTCCTCAGCTGAAGAAGAACATTAATCACCGTTCAGTGGTCAAACGATTTATGAGTGACACACAACTAATTACCTAAACCCTAGTCATTAAAGCATGATGGGCTGTTCCTTTAAATACAAATTAGCATCAGTTAACCTTTTACTAAAATCCACAAAGGTGTTTTGGGTGGTTGCTAGGTGGATCTCAGTGGTTGCTAGGGTGTTGCTAGTTGTTTAGTTGTGTTTTCATTGGTTGCACAGGTGTTTCTGGGTATTGCTAGGTGGATTGTAGAGTTGTGATGTTTCTAGGTTGATATAAGTGTATTCTCAGTGGTTGCTAGGGTGTTGCTATGTGGATATTAGCTAGGTGTGTTTTCAGTGATTGCACAGGTGTTTCTGGATGGATCTTAGTGTGTTCTGATTGGTTGCTAGGTTGTTGGTAGGTGGATCTAAGTATTTGGATGTTTCTAGGTGGATCTTAGGGTATTCTCAGTGGTTGCTAGGGTGTTGCTAGGTGGATATTCGCTAGGTGTGTTTTCAGTGGTTGTACAGGTTTTTTTGGGTGGATCTTAGTGTGTACTGATTGGTTGCTAGAGTGTTGCTAAGTGGATCTATTGGGATGTTTCTAGGTGGATCTTAATATATTCTCAGTGGTTGCTATGGTGTTGCTAGGTGGATATTAGTATTATGATGTTTCTAGGTGGATCTTAGTGTATTCTCCGTGGCTGCTAGGGTGTTGCTAGGTGTGTTTCAGTGGTTGCCCATGTTTCTGGGTGGATCTTAGTATGTTCTGATTGGTTGCTAGGGTGTTCCTAGGTGGATATTAGCTATGTGTGTTTTCAGTGGTTGCACAGGTGTTTCTGGGTGGATCTTAGTGTGTTCTGATTGGTTTCTAGGGTGTTGCTAGGTGAACCTTACTATAAGGATATTTCTAGGTGGATCTTAGTGTTTTCTCAGTGGTTGCTAGGGTGTTGCCAGGTGTGTTTTTAGTGGTTGCACATGTGTTTCTGGGTGGATCTTCGTGTGTTCTGATTGGTTACTAGGGTGTTGCTAGGTCGGCCTTAGTGTGGTCGGTAGTGGGTTGTTAAAATATACCAGATGTTGCTACCAGATGATTGCAAGGATGTTCTGAGAGGTTTCTAGGTCGTTGCTACACAGATCTTAATTTGTTCTGAGTGGTCTCCGAGCCATTAATATCTGTATATCTGGATATGTGTTTTGACAAGTTGTTCTGCATATTTTCTAGGGTGTTGCTAGGTGGTCTTACTCTATTCAGAGTCACCACTATGAGGCTACTGAAGTGTTTCCACTAAACTTGCTTATAGCACTTATTCATTGTTGCTCTTGGTTGTGTAAATTGCTTCCTTGTCCTCATTTGTAAGTCGCTTTGGATAAAAGCGTCTGCTAAATGACTAAATGTAAATGTAGACGATTGCTTGAATGTTCTAAATGGTTGCTAGGATGTTGCTAGGTGGATCTTTGTGTATTTTGAGTAGTTGCTGATGCATTGCTAGGTGGATTTTAGTTATTCTAAGCGACTGTTAACTTTGTATGGCATTGCTATGTAGATTTTTCTGTGTATTGAATTATTTTAAAGCATTGCTGGGTTTATTTTAGTGTGTTTTTCATGATTTCTAGGGTGTTGCTAGGTGTATCTTGTGCATTACGCATGGTTGCTGCTATGAGGTCACTAAAGTGTTCGGTATCGCTACCAGGTGTTTGCTAGTATGTTCAAATGGGTTGGTAGAGCATTGCAAGGCAGATTTAGTTGTTTTCTTACTGGTTAGTAACATGCCAGAGGTGTATTTTAGTTCATTATGCATGGTTTACAGGGCGTTACAAGGTGGATCTTGATGTGTTCTTGATGGTTACTAGTGAGTTGCTATGAAGATACTATGAAGAATGACCTTGCTAGAGTGCTTGCTAGGTGGACCTCTGTGACTTCTGAGTGGTTGCTAGGACATTAGGTGGATTCTAATGTGTTTTTATTGCTTGTCTGAATGGTTGCTACAGTGTTTTCAGGGCCTTCTAGTCATAGATATACACTAGATATCACATACTAGATATCGCATACGGACCCTGAGTATGCGTCAATACCGCCGCCACATTTGTACAGTGCTCCCAGGACATGTCATTCCACTGCACTAGTAAAGACTAAAGCCAATGTGAAGATGCTGAACTTTTGTGCTGTGTACAGGTGTAGTAACAAGCAAACAAAGAAAACAAAGCACATAACATTTCATAGGTAAGGTCCTCCACTGCACCCTAATCCCACATTCGTTTCAAAGAAGCGCTACCCTGTACTAAAATGGAGGCTGTATTGACGCATTCCTTCCAATAGACAACATAACGTAGGTGACATCTGATGTAAATGTCTATGCATTCTAGTGAGCTTCTATAAAGTTAAATTGTTGCTATTACTGTAGGTAGTTGCTAAATTTTGCAGGGTTGACCTTTGTGTGTCCTGAAATGTTGCTTAGAAGTTGTTATACGGTTTATAAGGTGTTCTCAGTGGTTGCTAAAGCATCAATTGGTGGTTACTAATGGTAAGCCGTGAATGCTAGTTTTGACTTGGTAGCTACTAAGGTATGATTCTGATTGGTTACTAGGACATTTGTGTTCCTCTGCTGTAGGAGACCATTAATGGGCATGTTGTGGTCATGGAATATAAGCACAACACAGTTTATTAGCTAAGTAAATGATATGTTGTTGATAGGAATGCACTGATTGGGAATTTTTAGCCGATACAGATAACCGATAACTTGAAATATTAGTAGCCGATAAACAGCCGATATAGTTGCGATATAGTAGCCAATAAATGTAATTTTTTTTTTTTTTTTTTTTTACAAATTTTCAGTCACTGAACATTAACCAAAATCAAAATATATATTTTAAGGGAAATGAAGCACTCTTACATTATTTACATTATAGTTATATATTTAAATAGTAGTTTATATTATTTTGTAAATTGGTTTCCACTTTAATGGAAATATATATTACAAACTAGATTAATGTTTTTTGCTATAGATTTTAGACTTGAAGCACTGCCATCTTGGAATATCGCTGTCTCTTACGTTAAGGGGTTGGTTCCGTTCCCTCAGCTGAACAGACACAGTGGAAGTAAAGGACTGAACACAGAGACTGTAAAGCCTAGTTTAACACAATGCTTGAAGTCGTGGGAGTGAAGCTGGTGCAAATACAAGCGTCAGATGTACAGTTGAAACCAGAAGTTTACATACACTTTAAAAAAAGGAAAATAACCATTTAAAAAAAAATGTCTGATGGTAAATCATACTAAACGTTTACTAATTTAGGTCTGTTAGGATTACCTAAATGATTTACATTTGCTAAATGCTAGAATAATGAGAATGTCTTTTTTGAGAATTTTTTATTAATTTCTAGAAAGTCAAAGGTTTACATACATTTCCTTGTTTTTTTAGCTTTGCTTTTAAACTGTATAACTTTGTTCAAATGTTTTAGATATTCTTCCACAAGCTTCTCACAATAGTTTGAAGCAATTTTGGCCCATTCCTCCTGATATAATTGGTGTAACTGAGTAAGATTTGTTGCCTGTCTTGCTCGCACAAGCTTTTTCAACTCTGCCCACAAATTTTCTATAGGATTGAGGTCAGGGGTTTGTGATGACCACTCCTAAACATTCACTCTTGCTGTCCTCAAAGCACATTTTAACTAATTTGGCAGTATGCTTAGGGTCATGGTCTGTTTGGAAGACTCATTTTTGGCCAAGCTTTATTTTCTGGCTGATGTCTTGAGATGTTGCTTCAGTATTTCTACATAATGTTCTTTCTTCATGATGCCATCTATGCAGTGAAGTCGACCAGTCCCTCCTGCAGCAAAACAACCCTACAACATGATGCGGTCGCCCCCATGTTTCTAGGCTTCTAAGCTTTTCCCTTTGTCCTCCAAATGTAACACTGGTCATTATGTTTAAACAGTTCAATCTTAGTTCCATCAGACCACAGAACATGTCTCCAAAAATTATTATTTTTCGCAGTGTAATTTGGCAAATTCTGGCTTTTTTATGTTGATTCTGGCTTGTTGATTTTTCATGTTGTCACACAAGGAAGCAGTGTGTTTGAGGTCTTCCTTAAATACTATTCTATAGCTGTGCCTCCAATTAACTCAAATGTTGTTGGGGTGGTTGCGTGATGGCGTGAAGTGAAAACCGGGGAGGGTGGGGGTGATGATTATGATCATGTGAAGTGAAGACCAGGGTGGGGGTTGGCGTGATGCTTATGACCGCATGAAATGAAGATGAGGTGGGTTGTTGCATATGATTGCGCGAAGTGAAAACCCAGGGAGCTGAGGGTGGGTGTTGAGGTTGGGTTGTGGATGCTTAGGCTCACGCAAATTGAAGATCTGCCGGGAGGAAGGAGGAGGCCTGGCCGTAAATGGCCGTTTTAGACCCCTGCGCTACACTCAAATTTCTAATCTGTCAAATTCTACTAATCATTTCCCTTTACTTGTTAGACCTGCTTCTGTTGGACGCAAAGATAATCGGCAACCATTGACTTCCATAGTTTTGGTTTTGCCTTAATGTCAATGGTTTTTAGCTTTCATCAAAATTTCTATTTTTGTGTTCAACAGAAGAGACTCATAAAGGTCTGGAAGCACTTGAGGGTAAATAAATATTGAGTAAATTTTAAATTTTGTGTGAACGATCCCTTCAAAACAGGTAAACCTTTCTCAAACCATCAGTTTTAATGGATGGAGGGCAGGCAGACAGACTCCCCTGAGTAGTGGCACTGCTCTGGGTTTCATGTCTAAAGAGGGTCCTTAGACAGTCTCTCTCTGTGTTCGGCTTCCCTTATCGGCTAACAGGCAAGAATAGAGATGGCAGAAGGGCAGGAAGGCTTTGTGAACAGAAAGAAAGAGGAGGAAGAGGAGCCGGAGACAGGACAAAGGCAGACGTGTGCAAACACCGCTCGACTAGACAGACCTGAATCAAGCGTACAGTACAGACACACACTCATGTAATGAATCCATCTGTAACGCGCAGGCTGGTGGTCTCTGGGGGAATCTGAAGAGATGTGGATCGCCGTGGAGACAGATTACATCATAACACCAGCTGCATTAGAGAGATACATATCGATTGGACTAGTTGAGTCATAAACAATGAAAAAAATTTTTATTGGAAAGTTCAAAAAGCTAGATGTGGCTAATAATATGTCTAGCTAGATCTTAGGGAAAGGTTGCAAGGTAGATACTACAAAATTTTGAGGGCACTGTAAGGGAGTTGCTATGGGAAACTAAAGAATTCTGTGTTGCTACGGGTTGATTGTTGAACGGGAAGTAACTGAGACTTTTATTTCATCATGTTGAAGTACTTACAACTGAAATGGAATATTGAGTTGGGGTGGGGCTTTCTTTTTGCACATCATTCCCTCCAAGCAAACTAAACGTAAGAGAGGCGTAGCTAAGAATATTGTTGCTGAAGCAGTCAAACTGAGGGTGCTTTCACACTAGCACTTTTGGTCCGCACCCAATTTCGTTTGACGTCAGAGTTGGGTACGTTTAGCTAGTGTGAACGATGTCTTCTGAACCCGTGAACCGTACGCGAGTCCGCCTGAAAGAGTTGGTCTGGGGTACAATTCGTGTGAACTCTGGTCTTGTTCACTTCTGGTATAAATGCAATCATACCAAATAACGGAAGTATACCGCCAACTGCACAACAAATTGTTTTCATAATGTTTATTCGTGTTTGTGAGTGTGTGTGTGTCACATACAGTACTGTACTTTAGTGACAAGCGGGACTGAATCAGGGCAAACAGTGATAATGTCTGCTTGTCTCCTCTAAAAATATTGACTTATGTTCTAAATGTTTATAATATTTTTGCAGGCAATAGACACAAGTCGCTTTCTGTATGTAAAACCAAAATATTCAGTAAAAGCAGAACGAATGTGATAAGCGTACATCTTTCCATTTTGGTCTATGCTTTTGTGGCTGGCACCTAGCAACAGCTGTACACACAACAGCAGCTCGATAACGCCAGCGTACCGGGGTTCAGAAGGAAAAAAAACAAAACAGTGTGAACACAAACTAACCGAGAACAAAGAGCTTAGAATGACCAAGAGGCGACACTCAATAGAACGTTCAATTGCAACAGCAGCGCCCAGCAACAGCCCTGGATTCCGCCATTTTGGAGTGAAAGTGATCGGCCGTCCATTGGATCTCATTACTTTTGCGATGGCAAGCAGCTGCTTTGTTTTTTATTTATCTATTTAAAAAGCGTATTAAAGCTGAGATACAATCTGAAAGACGACAATACAACATTTATTATCACAATCATCAGCACTTTTAATATTTTATTTTACAGACTTATAATATGCTGTTGTTCTAATGGAGTTTTCATATCAAAATAGCCGCCGCGCCCTCTAGTGGCTGTTTCCCAAATTACACTAGAGTGTCGCCTCTTGGTCATTCTAAGCTCTTTGCCGAGAAGGTGGTAGGGGAGGATAATCGAACTTGGGTTCGGTCCAGGCAAAGGAACCAAGTGTGAAAGCACCCTGACTCAATAGAGAAGGACCAACACTCCAAACTCACAAGCAAGTGGTCAGACCATTTTTGTTTTTTCAGTTCATTAACTTGGATTCATTTTTCATCTAAAAATATCAATGAGCACTAGCAAAATAAACAGTGAAAATTTAGATTTCACACAGACTTCGAAGGGCACCTATTTTGCTAAAGTGCTTTCAATTAATGCTAAGCTGAAATATTTCTAGGTAATTATTAGAATGTTTGAAGCATTTTAGCTAAAGATACTAGGTTGTTGCTATGCACCTACTAAGGTGCTAAATGGCTAGTTCTTGCAATGCTACAGTGCTCTATTGACCTTATTCTAAAATGCGGAAGTGCGCCTGTTTTCGCGATTGTCTTAGAACTTCCGTTTCAGTCGCCTATGGGAGAAATGACAAGGAATAATAAACGGCAAAAAACGGTCAAACTACTTGCTCTACAAACAAATGTTTGCATGACAGACCAAGTAGAATAATATAACAAGGAAATATCAGTTTGCAACACCAAACAGCGAAACGAGCAGTTTTTAATGTCTAAAAATGAATGGAAGTGAATGAGACCGGAAGTCTCGTGCCAAAAAGATTCAAATGGCAGCGCCCGCTCGTCTGCGGAGAATAAGGTCAATATGTTGATAGATGAGTGCTTACTGTTCACAAGTCAAAACTTGATTTGGCTTGAACTAAATATACTTATTCTTTTAAAAAAGTCCTAAATTAGCTTGCAGGTTGTCAATCAGTAACTGAAAGAAAATAACTTTCTAAAAAATAAAAACAACTTTCACACTAATGTGCAGAGTGAGTTTTTTTTATGTATGTGCATCAGTAGAGTTCCTCCTTGGCCTGATTTATAAAGATGAACTAGATTAAATTAATCTGCATGTCTTAATTTCATCTTAATTTGATCTCCAGAGACTGTATCTAGCTGTGTGTGTGTGTGAAAGTGTTTGTTTGGTTTAATCACTAACCAAAACACAGACTTAACGGACTGAGCTAGCAAAGCCGCTACGATTACGATCTGCGTGTGAGAAACGGAGCAGAACGGCAGTAAAAAAATTCGCCAGATTTAACCTGACTACCCCTGCGGCTGAGTAAACAGTAGAACAGATGCTCTCGCCTATTAACCAGCCCTAATTAGACAACTACAGCTCTCGCCGCCTTCATTTATAAACCCAGAGCTTGACAGGCCTAATGGAAATGAGCTACTAAAGCGAGCAGAAGCTTCAGAGACGTGTTTTATTAACTGACTCAGACACAGGAGGGGAATTAGACCATGAATTTAATAAAGCTTCAGTTGAATTGATGTTGTGAGTTATGCTGTGTACCTGTGCGTGTGTGTTTTCCAGAGCATGTGTTATCCTTGGGGTCGTCTTCATCCTGTCGGCCATAACAATCTTGGTGAAAGCCATCCATGATCTTGCCACAAAACTGGAACCAGAAGTGGTAAGAAAACAACAAACACATTGTTTTGCATTATATTTGGTTAGTTGATTCACTTGTCATTGATTCATTTAGCCATTGATTCATTCATTGGAATCAGCTGATGCATTGTTCCATTGATTGATTTGTTTGTTTGCTCAATCAGCCATTGATTCATGTAGTGGGTCAGCTGATGGATTGTTCCATTGGTTGATTTGTTTGTTTGTTGTTTCATTCAGCCATTGATTCGTTCATTGCATCAGCGGACGGATTGTTTTATTGGCTGGTTGGTTGGTTTGTTTGTTCATTTAGCCATTGTTTCGTTCATTGCATCAGCGGATGGATTGCTCCATTGGCTGGTTGGTTTGTGTTTGCTCATTCAGCCATTGATTTGTTCAGGGAATCAGCTGATGAATTTTTCCATTAGTTTATTTGTTTGTTTGTTAATTCAGTTGTTGATTCATTCATTAAATCAGCTGATGGATTGTTCAATTGGTTAATTTGTTTGTTTGTTCATTCAGTTATTGATTCGTTCATTGGATCAGCTGATGGATTGTTCCATTGATTGATTTGTTTGTTTGTTTGTTCATTCAGCCATTGATTCATTCATTGCATCAGCAGATGGATTGTTCCATTGGCTAGTTGGTTGGTTTGTTTGTTCATGCAACCATTGATTCATTCATTGGCTCAGCTGATGGATTGTTTACGTTGGTTGATTTGTTTGTTTGTTTGTGTGTTTGTTCATTCAACTACTCATTCATTTATTGGCCCAGCTGATGGATTGTTGTGTTGGTTGATTTCTATGTTTGCTGATGGGTTAATCCATTGGTTGATTCATTGGTTTGTTTTTTAATTTAGCCATTGGTTTGTGTAGGAAATTAGCAGATGGATTGTTCCATTGGTTGATTTGTTTGTTTGTTTGTTTGTTTGTTTGTTTGTTCATTCAACCATTGATTTGTTTAGGGAATCAGCGGATGGATTGTTCCATTGGTTGATTTGTTTGTTTGTTTGTTTGTTTGTTTGTTTATTAGGGATGTAACGGTATCAGAATTTCACGGTACGGTAATACCTCGGTATGAATGTCACGGTACGGTATTTATTGAATCATTTACAGGAAAAAACAAAACTTATGAAAATACTCCAAAAAAGTGCCAAAAGTGTCAATGACATACAAATTAGCCATCTATCTGTAAGCTTTGAAACAGGAACTTCAATTTAATAACAAAAAAAATATTAAACCATGTAAAAAATAAAGTTTCAATTTAGTATTGTTGAAAACTCATCACATTCAACATTTAATCACACTCAGCCCATCTACCCAGATGAAAGCTCTGCTAGTCGGACTTCTCATCAAGCATCTCCCGCTGGATCTAATCTCAATATATTTATTAAACGGGATATTTCATTTATCTTGTTGTCTTTATCTAACGACATATTCCCTGACTTTGGTCATTGGAATCTATTACTTGTTCTCAGGTAACGTGTTTTGGCTGAGCGCAAAGATAAGTTAATGATTAATGTAACCACGTACATTCTGTATATTGACTGATCGCTTGCCTTTATTTCCTATAATGTATAAACTTATTGTATGTTATACTTTTAAAATGGCCATTATCGATTCTTAAAACTGATACTCAGCAAAAGAGAGGCTGTGTTTCGTATTTTCACTGAAATTGAAAGGAGGCAGTTGTTACCGGCTCCGTTTTGTTATAAATATCCACACAGTGAAGATGACGCTCATCTTATGCAGCACGACACCTCAACATTTCTGCTGTCTAAGTTGCTAATATTAAAATGAAAATAGGCAGTTCCTTAAATCATGTTTACATTTTATTGTTGATAAAGTGAAACAACGAAGCCAGGGTGATGTGAATGAAGTTATAAAGTACACTGTTCCCTTGAAGATTTACCCGTGTCCTCGGTATAGTCTGCTTTTCCATATCAAACTGAGAAGAAGAGACTGCAGCCTTGATCAAACTTGCGAAGTCTGAACTTACAAGGAGAGGATGCAGAACTGAACTGTGCGTGTTAGGCTACTTAATATTCAGGAAAAGCCCCAATCAGAGAGGCGAATGTCAGCAGCCCCGCCTCCGTTTTCAGATGTCTCCGTTTTCCATTATCCACAATGAGACATTATCCACACATTTCGAAACGCTCCGTTTTCGGCGCTCGAGAACTCCGGCGTAGTGTGGACGGTTGGCGTAACCGTAGCAAAACTTATGCGTTTTCAAACTAAAACGCATTAGTGTAAACGGGGCCTTAGAGTTTTCCAGCTCTTTTCATCCCCGCTTCTAGCAGCACACTCCATTTCCGCATTACTGGATCTGTAGCGACAACAGACCGCAAGGGATGATGGTCAAGCATGGGCTGATGGGTATTGTAGTTTTCGCTACCTCCCGTTCGCTTTATTCGCCTAAGCAAATTTTCTCAGAAGACCTATAGTTTTACCGAGTCATGCGACTTCGGTAATATCGAAAAAAATTAATATTGCGGTATGACGGTATTTACAATACCGTTACATCCCTATTGTTTATTCAACCATTGATTAATTCATTGGCTCAGCTGATGGATTGTTCCGTTGGTTGATATTTTTGCTCATTCAGCCAATCAGCCATTCAGATTCGTTCAGTGGATCAGCTGTTAGATTGCTCCATTGGTTTTTGCTTGTTCATTCAGTGATTGATTCATCCATTGAAATAGCTAATAGATTACTCCAGTGGTTGACTGAGGTATTTTTTTAGTTGTTCGTTCATTCACCAGTTCATTCATTTATTGGATTGGTTGAGTGTTTGATGATATTTTGTTTATTGATTACTCACTGACTTACAGGTAGACTTTATTGTTCCAGACAATGACTAATTCATCCATTGGATTGGTTGTTTTCTTCCCCTAATGAATGGATTAATTTGGTGTACTATTTATTTCCTAAGTTTCAGTGTGTGATTCATTGTTTTTTATATTCATTTATTCACTCACTGATTGATTGATTGATTGATTAATTGATTGATAAATTGATCCAACAGTTTGTCTGTTTACTGATTTTTTGATTCAATGAATTGATTCATTTACCCATTTGCTCATTCACTAGTTTATTTATTTATTTGATTGATTGATTGATTGATGGATTGATGGATTGTTTGATTTGTTTATTTACTGACATATCATTCTAGTGGATGATTCATTCATCAATTTGCTCATTCACTCATTGATTCATTCATACATTTTACTGCAATGCAATGTGCATTTATATAGCGCATTCATTTGCATGGCCATACACCCAAAGTAATTCACGATAATAAGGGGAGGTGGGTGGCGACTGCAGCCACAGGACAATGGCGCCAGTGATCTCACCACACAACAGCTATTGGTGGAGTTGACAAACAGTGATAGTGTTACACCCCTCCTCTTGCCATGGGATTTTTAATGACCACAGAGAGTTAGGACCTCGGTTTAACGTCTCACCCGAAAAATGGCGCTCACTGAAAGTATAGTGTCCCCAGGTTGAGTGCCCCCTACCCGCATCACTAACACCACTTCCACCAGCAACCTAGTTTTCCAGCACAGTTTTCCACAGGCACACTAGTTTTCCACAGGCAGCCTCTACTCTAGCCCGCCTGACAACCCGAGTGTGGACAAACCATAGGCTGACAACTGCAACAAAGATGGCAGTGTACAATGCTTGCGTCATCAGCACTCTGCTGTATGGGAGTGAGACATGGACCACCTATGCAAGACAGGAGAGGAGACTGAACACCTTCCACCTAAGAGGTCTGCGTCGCGTTCTGGGCATTACCTGGCAGGACAAAGTCTCCAACGTCAAAGTCTTGACTCGAGCCGGCCTTCCCAGCATGTATACCATGCTCTGACAACGTCGCCTGCGCTGGCTTGGCCATGTGTGCCGTATGGAGGATGGGAGAATCCCAAAGGATATCCTTTACGGAGAACTCTCATCTGGGAAGAGAACAACAGGACGCCCATTTCTGAGATTTAAAGATGTCGTGAAGAGGGACATGAAGGCCCTCGACATAAACACCAAGTCCTGGGAAGACCTCGCAGCAGACCGCCTGAAATGGAGGTGCACCCTGACCAAACAGCTCAAGTCAGGTGAGAAGAACATGATGCGTGCGTCAGAGGACAAGCGAGTTCACCGAAAGGTGCAGAGCATCAGCCAGGGAGCCACCTATCAATGCGACTGCTGCGGTAAAAAATGCCTCTCCCGCATTGGTCTCTTCAGCCACCAACGACTCTGTCTTAAACAATCAGTCATGCCTCAAGATAAGAGCTAGGATACGTCATCCATGGTCAACACTGACCGACGGAGGCCTACTACTGAAAGTATAGTGTCCCCAGGTTGAGTGCCCCCTACCCGCATCACTAACACCACTTCCACCATCAACCTAGTTTTCCCATGTGGTCTCCCATCCAGGTGCTGACCAGGCTCAGCCCTGCATAGCTTCAGTGAGTAACCAGTCTAGGGCTGCAGGTTGTGGCATTGGATATGGCATTGGATTGGTTGATTAATAGTTTAGGTGGTTGAATCTTTCATTTGTTCACATACTCACTTATTGTTCCATATGAACATTTAATCGTTTCTATATTCCTCAGTGGACTGATTTACTAACTCAATAGTTAATCAGTTCAACTGGATAAGTAATTGTTCCAGTGGTTAATTAATTAATTATTTAATCAGTTTCTTCATTCATTGAATCATTTATTTTATTGTGTTTGTTGTTTGATCATTCCAGTATTTGATTCTTTCAAATGGTTGATTGCTTGTTGTTCAAGTGGTCGATTCATTGATTATTTCAACAGTTCCATAGTTTAATTTGTCTGTTTACTGACTTGTTCTTTCAGTAGATGATTCATTTGTTTGCTCATTCATTCATTCGATTGGTTGATTAATTGATCTAGTGATTGACTCTTTTATTTGTTCATATGCTGACTTATTGCTCTAATGGAAAGTTCATTTATTTGTTTTTCTTTTTCGTTGATACGTTAACTTAATAAGTAATTGTTCCAGTGAT